GCCCCCACTGAGAAGCCACTGAAGAACCAAGGCCCTGTGGCCCAGGACACCGTGGGCAGGCACCCATGACAAATCTGCTGACCAGACAGCCCAGAGCTGGAAGAGGGAGGAGCCAGGCAGAGCCCAAGCGCCAGTCACCTGTGGAGAGCTCCACCTTCAGTGTGTACTTGTGTGAGCCGAGCCCGTGGCTGCGCACAAACTCCTCCTGGTCACTGTCCTCATCCTTGTCTTCTGAGAGCGCTCCGCTGCCAAACCCGGGGAAGTGCACAGAAGCAGGCAGGTCCCTGCTGCAGCAGGGCCGCTCCCCATCCCGAGGGTCAGGGGGGCCAGACCGGCAGCGGGGGGGCTGGCCTGGACATGAGGGACAAGAAGCACCCTCCTCAGACACACAGGAAGCCATGCCAAGGAATCCCGCCTCTGGGCTCAGGCCTAAGTCAAGGGGCACCAGCAGCTGGAAACAGCTTTCCACTTCCATCAGGCAAGACTCAATTTCTGCAGACATTTCTGCCAAAAGACCAAGACATTTGCTTCCTGAGTCAAGCTGGGAAGAAAGCACACCATCTCACCTAAAACCATGCCCGGGGGCCTCTTCTCCTAAGAACCAAAGCAAGTGCCGCAGGAGCAGATGGCATCACAGGGGCTTTTCAACTGCCAGACAAACCACCCAGCTTGGCAGCTAGAGCTGCAGATCAACTCTCAGATGCCCCTAGGCAACACTATGTGCAAAGTTACTCCTCCTCTGGGGCAAGGAAATGCTGCAGTTGTCCCCTACCTTCCTGGGCCGGCTAGCTCTCCCTCTCAGCTGCCTGCCTTATAGGTTTCCCAGAAGTGGCCTCTAAGAGGGCACACACCCAGGAATGAGGTATACAGGGAGCTCTGGGCACAGGAGGAGCCCTTAAGAACCGTGGTCTAAAAAAAAAAAAAAAAAAGAACCGTGGTCTGGGCTCGGCCCCTGTGGCTCAGTGGCTAAGGCATCAGCCACATACACCTAAGGTGGCAGGTTCAAAGCCAGCCTGGGCCCGCCAAACAACAATGACGGCTGCAACAAAAAAAAATAGCCAGGCATTGTGGCAGGCGCTTGTGGTCCCAGCTACTTGGGAGGTGGAAGCAGGAGACTCGCTTGAGCCCAGGAGTTGGAGGTTGCTGTGAGATGTGATGCCATGGGACAGCATGTGAGCATGTGAGCCCAGGAGTTGGAGGTTGCTGTGAGCTGTGATGCCAGGGGGACAGCTTGAGGCTCTGTCTCAAAAAAAAAAAGAACCATGGTTTGAGAATGCAGAATGGCCACCTCCGCCCCTCAGAGAAGACACCTGTTGTAGGCAATGGCAGCCCTGGGCCTGGCTTCCTCCTCACACCTGAACTGCACCCCTCATGAGAAGGGCCCGCTGCTGGGAAGTAAATGGTGGGGTTTTCTGGGGAGGAGGCTGGCAAGAGCAAATAGAA